AAGAAGAAGAAGAAGAAGAAGAAGAAGAAGAAGAAGAAGAAGAAGAAGGAGGAGGAAGAGAAGAAGAAGGTGATGATGACAATAATGGGATGGAAAAATTTAATACATTCTGACTGACACACGTATGAGCTACAAAGATCCTCCTAGCTTCAAAATCGCTATGACCTTGCTGGCACCTGCCTTGTGCCAGGGCCTAGCATACTATTCTCCCATGTTAAATTCCTTTCTGGCCTGTCCCACAATAAGCAGTCAGCCTGGTAACCCCTGTGGCCACAATTCAAGTCGCAACAGAACAAGTGGCTGAGATCTAGAGCAAAGAAAGTGGGCCGTTCTCAGGCAAACCAGCTAAATTGCTGTAGTTGTCCACTTGCTAATGCAATGCTCCTTATGAACTGTGTTAAGGGACTGGGAGGGATCAAGGGAATCAGCATTATACTGCTAAACATTTCTGCCTAAAACTGGCATCATTTCACATTCTTGGGACACTTATCTCCCAAAAGTACAAGTATTTAAATGAGGACCCTGAAGGCCTATACTTGAAAGTAGTAATAGATAAACATATAGGCATTCTTAAGTTTACAGACTGTTTTACCTTCTCAATTTTTTAAATGTTTATATATATTTGGGGGTGGAGGGCAGAGAGAGAGGGAGACACAGAATCCAAAGCAGGCTCCAGACTCTGAGCTGTCAGCACAGAGCCCAATGTGGAGCTTGAACGCACAAACCATGAGATGACCTGAGCTGAAGTCAGACGCTCAAGTGACTGAGCCACCCAGATGCTTCCTTTTTACCCTATCAGATTAAAAAAAAATGTGTAGGGATCTCTGCACACTACCACAGTGAATAAGTAAATTTCAATTAAAATAGAAGTATTAACACCTGTCTCAACATTATTTTTAAGTAGAAAGGAAATTAGCAGTTCACTCAAATACCCAAAGGTCAAATGACTTAAACTCATAGGTCACTTGGAAGAGCTCACTTAGAGACTTGAGAAAGGCATTTAATATTATACTTGGACTTAAAAGCACTTTCCCAAGAATAAATCACTAATATGAATCTTCCCTTCCATCACAATGGGTAACCTTTCACAAGTCAGTGCAAATGCCAAGGCTTTTTGCTTTGATTTTTCAAAAGTATTAGTAATACTTCTAACTGAGACCTTTCTTAGTGTTAAAAAAGTAAGCCTAATTTAAGGTATTGTTGGTAATACTGAAGACAATCATAATGTAATCATAATGATGTGATTTCAAACTGGTGACTGAAGTAACAACTTTTCTGTATCATTTTTGTAAAGACATGTCTTGGCCTAGGGCTATGCTTGGTACCTCTCCACACAGTCAGTGTAAAAACTGAATTATATTCCTCCCAAAGAACTTAAGAGTCCAAATATATGCCATGAATCGTCAAGAGGAGCTTAAATCATTTCAGAAATGTTACTAAAAATTTTAGGCAACAGCAACTGTTAAGATGAAACATTTCGATTGTTAAGATGCAATTTTGAAGACTGATTTTTTTTTTCTTCCATCATCTGAATGGTCTGGGTCATATGGAGTTAGTCAAAAGAAAGAAAGGAACATAATTCAGAGAAAGTAACTACAACTTCGTGCACTGAACACATGAGCTTTATCAACAAAGTAAATAGTAAAACTTGCAAATTTCATGGAGTTCTGAAATCAGTCAAGGGAAAAGAAATAAATGGTGATCTGTGGCTTAAATCTTTTACTAACAGTTTTAGTTTTTGAAAGAATGACATGATAGCATTGCATACTTTCTCTCTTATAGTTAAAAATGCATAAGAGCATCATAACTAAAATACACGTATTGCTTACAATTTACATATAAGTCACTGGACAAGAAAAAGAGATTCTACCTCTAGGAATTTAAAATCAGAATTGATGACACTAACTTGAAAAGATCAGTGTTAGTTATATGTCACAATAACTGACAAGAAGTAGATACTAAAATATGACCATGAAGTCATCTGAAGAGTGGAAGTCATAAAAAGTCTGAGTGAAAGCTGAACAGAAGGGTGGGGACAAGGAATGTATCAGCTTCCCTCTGATCCTACACAAAGACTTCTGGAAGATGTGGGGCTTCCGGGGAGATTACACTGGGGCAAAGGGACAAGACGGAATTCTCCGTGATCACATGTTAGGGGTCTGACTGGAACAACGCTGGGAGGTGGCAGTGGAATGACAGAAAGGAGGCAGCTGAGAAACTGTGACTGAGGTTATGAAAAGGTGCACACAGCAAAATGGAGAAGGGAGCTGAAATGAGGCCAGGGAAACCTGAGCACCTAGACCAGGATAACAGCTTTCCAGACCAAGGAGAAGTCAGTATCACTTCTGGTTTTGAATTGAAAAAAAAACAAAAAAAACAAAAAAAAACAAAAAAACAAAAAACAAAAAAAAACACAAACAACTAGAAATAACAGAAATAAAAAACAAGTATGAGAATTATTCATAAGAAATTCCATGTAGACAGTTGCTATGTCAAAACCACAAACTTCAGCGGGAGAAACATATAAACTAAAGGCAGAGCAGTGTTTAATATATGAGCTATGCAAAAATGATTCAAATGAGAAAAAAGAAAAATGCAAAAGTTAAGAAAATGCTAAATTTGCACCCATTATACAGGACCTCCACTCGAAAGTGAAGAACACCAATCCAATTTCATTATGATAGAAAAACACAAAGCATTTGTCTGTTTTTATTGTGGTTTTTTTTTTTTTTTTGGTTGATGGGTTATTTACTTAATGTTCTATTATATGCATCTCCTAAATATTTATTAGAGATACTAAACTTAATATAGCACTCAAATCTTACAGATTACTTTCCATCAACTCAAACTGAGCTATCTCATTCTGGTTTATCTCCCTCTTATCTGCATTTTCAGCTTGCAGTGTACTCTTTCAGGGAACTGACATTCGAAATTGCAAAAATAATCAGTTTTCATTGTATAAGGATTTTTAAAAGGGAAAAAAGAAACAGGAAAGGAAAGATCAAGTCACATCAATTAGATCTCTAGATTAGCAAATAATTTTTCTTGAAACATAACTATACTTCCATTTTTCTCTGTATTCTTCTGTCACATATACACATATACAAACACACTCATAAACTGAAAACCAAGTCAGACTGGCTCTCTTGTGTTATAGACACAAATAGCCACAACTGTCATTTCTTTCATCTCAAGACAAGAACTATATTAGAAAATTTGTCTGGGGCTTGAAAAAGCAAAACAGCAAAATAGAAAGAAAGAAAGAAAGAAAGAAAGAAAGAAAGAAAGAAAGAAAGAAAGAGAAAGAAAGAAAAGAAAGAAAAGGAATAAACATAAAAGGAAAGAAAGAAAAGAAAAGGAAAGGAAAGGAAAGAAAAGAAAAGAAAGGAGGGAGGGAGAGATGGAAGGAAGAGAGAAAAAGAAACAAAAAAAATTTTGACTACTTGAATTTATTTGTATTCAAATTATGTGCATTTTGAAGTTGTTTATTTAGGGGACTTATTACATATTTACTTTTCTGAAGCTATGAGTAAAAATGTGAATCATAGTTAAGAAATAGCCACTACTAGTATTAAAGATACCTTTTTTTCTTTTAAATTTAGGAACCTAATTTAACACAGCTTAGCATTTGAAGAAGACTAAGATTTGTTTGTTCAAATAAACAGGGAAGTGTAAAGCCAGTGGGGATCATATGACCAAGGCAGTGAAACAAGGTGAGTGGTGGTTTGATGAACACAAGCAGCAGTATGACTGCCATGACACTGAATTCAGTAGATATTTGCACTGCCTTTTCTTATTCCCCTTTTCTTCTAGTCTTTGATGGATATATAATAATTATATTTTATAAGAATGCCAGTGGTGACGGAAGTGCTTCTCCTAATGCAGAGGCTGTAAAGCTATCAGAAGAGCTTTAAGCAAATGTTATCTGTTTTACAGAAGAAATCAATTACCCACAGATTGCTTAAACCAGTGACAGGCATGGTAAGGAATAAAATGTGTTAAGTAGAAAAGTTACAGCCATCAACATGTAAGGAATTACATGATATATGAAAGCAATCACTTGTTCAATTTACCTTCAAAACTAAAACAAGTTCTTCTGCATTGGAAATAAACATGAACCTCTCTCTGAAAAGGGAACAATTTCCAACTCAATGGAAAAAGTACTGTATAAATTTTAGCCAGCAATAGTGCTATTAGGAGAACACAACCAGGTTTTCAGAGATAAAGTATGTGAACTATTTAACATACTTATTTCAAAGTAGGCATCACTTTGTCTTCATCTTCCGACAATTCAGAATTATGTAATTTCCAGATATGCCTGGAATAAAGAGTCTGCTAGAAAATACTCCACGCTTCGTAACATTCCTTATATTTATATCAAACTGCAAAGAGTTTTACTCAATTAAAAATATCTTTATTATTTTTAAGCTTTAATATTCATCATTCTCTGTTGATAACACATACTTCATTATCTGTACTAGCAAGAAAAGATTCACAAGTGGGCCTTTTTTTCTGCTTAACGAAGAAAAATAAGTGTTTCAAAAAGGCTCTGACAGTTCTTAGGGAGGACATCATGGTTCAAAATGCTCATCAAAGCTGTTAATTACTCAGGTGGAGTTGGCATCTTGCCTTGTGAAACAAGGTCACCATTTTCAGTTCTTTTTCCTATCAGTCCTTTAGGAATTTTTGCATTGTGTAATTTAATTTTTAAAACAAATTAATTCAAATCACATGTAACATAAAAAAGTAATTTCTTAATATTGCAACACAGGAATCATTCCACCAGATGTGCCATTAGAGACATCACAGCATAACCATCACATTTCTGTGAATGTCATTGTGTGCAATGACAGCCATGACGAGAGATACCTGCCTAATGAAGAACTTATGCTCCTTTTCACTTTCTTCTTTTTCAAATTGGGACGTGTGGAGGAGAATTTGTTCACGTGATCTTTTAATAGAATCAGGAGTAATATACCAGCTGATGCATACCATCCTTTTATAATATTCTGAGGGAAAGCTCTATACTGACTTAATTTTCTTGGGAATAAAACATGTATATTCAAGATTTCATGCAGGTCGGTTGTCCTTAATGGACAAATGTTAATGATAAATTTAAAGTACCACAGTTTTGGAACACCTGTACATGAAATTCTTTAAGAAGAACCACATTCGTAGTTTATTCACTCTGACACAGACAACAATATTGCGAAAATTCCCAAATGAAAGACAACACGGCTAATGCTTTTTTCTCTGCAAAATTATCAGGTTGATACAATGGCAATGTCCTACTGATTATTCACCACAGACCTTCCAACAGGATAATGCATTCTTAAAGTATGAGCTTGAAGCTAAAATATTAAATATGCATTTCCTCCTCCTGGAGGACATGTTGAAATGCCACATGCTGTTGGTGAGAATGACCCATAAGTGTTGGATTTTTCTCCCCCTTGCTCTTCTTTTCCAGAAACAGTTAGTGTGGCGTGCAGTGAACCAAATCAACAATGTGATTCAAGCTGTCTCCGTGGCTTCTTGGCAAAAGAAAGGATAAACTATAAAAACTCCCCTCCTACAGCTTTCAGCTCTTGCTTCCCACACTTTAACATCTTCTGTCACCTCTGGCGCTGTTACTGACCCATGCTAAGCTAAACTAAAGGATGATAAGTTTGCTGCCTTTGCCCTTGTCCTGAGGGGCTGCGCATTATCCTATCAAGTATCAGTAGACATTTCTGTGGGATATTTGTCACCCCACGAAGGCCTTTGGAACAAATGAAATGGGCAGCGAATTACAAAAATGTCATTCTCTAAAGGAAATGGATGAAGGCTTTTGTTCTCCAGTAATAAATAGATGCCATGGGCTTATAACACTATTTTTATATTAAATTTGACAGGGTTACTCTTTCTAGTTCATTAAGGGAACAGCTTGAAAACTCTTTCTTTCTGTACTTTTGAAAATAATGTTGTTTCCCTCATTTCTTCCCAGTAATAAATACAAATGATACCTAGCAATAGATCTTGGAAATCACAGATCATGATTAATTTCAAGTTACTTTTGCTAATGATTGTTTTAAAAATGTACAAAAATCATTGCAGGGAGGGCTTTTGAGATTATAAATGGATTATGTAAAGAGGTACCTCTGAATGGATTTTAAAAGTCTGATTTACACCGATTTCTCCTTTCTTTATAAATCACAAATATATTACTTCCTTTTCTCACTTTTCTCACACATTATGGTTTTACAGGGCTTCATGATAAATATGCCATGGACAAAGGTCAAGCAAAGGATAATAACTCAATTCCTTAAATGAAAGCTTCAAAGTAAATCTTCTGTGTTTAACAGCAGTATACAGGGGTCAAGATTACAATGTCCCAGACTAGAGAATAAAATGTGTGTTAATACCTTTGAGCCTCAGTATATTTTTAAATGGGTATACTTGAACTGACATACTTAGATGTTCTTTGAAGTGAAGCTTGAGCAAGATACATAATACATGATAATAAATTAAATAGCACCACATATTTTTAGGTAAATCTGAATTAGTGTGGTTCATCAACATTTTCATGGTAGCTCTTCACTATTTCTAATATAGTAGGTATATTTCTTCTGTAGGTTTGCCTACTCAATGATTTTAAAATTGAGGCATCTTCTGTTCACTAAGCTTAGTCTGTTCAGCAACATTTGTAAGATAAGGTAGTGAAAACAATTCATGGGAATTTTTACTTGACCCATTAGTATATGCATGGAGACTACTAATTGTGGTAGCATACACTTAGTGAAAATTATTTAATAGTGAAACGTTATCTGTGTTAATCTTCAGATTTTCTGATTTTGTATTTTAGATTATAGCTCTTGGATGGGTATACTGTGGTGCGTTTCTTAGGTTTAGTCAATATATGCTATATTTTGAAAGAATTGATTAGTAAAAACAAGAAGGAATGGTGTAAACCAATTCTAATTGTTGTTTAGATCAAAGTCAACATTTCTCAGAGGCAAATCATTTTTAAAATTCAGCTAAATCTTACTTTCTGTGGACATTTGCTTTATTTTATATTTTTTATTCCTCTTTGCTTCTCAACATGAGAACATGTGCTTGGCTTTGTAAACTCCCTGATTGTATGAGCTGTGATAGGAACACTAGGGGATCCGAAGGTTCTTTAAAGAATACATACCTAAGTGTGCCCATCCACATCTGTCCACTTAACACTTGTGCTGAAGCTCAAAGGCACTAATGCACATTTTAATCTCTAGATGAATCACTGTCATCTTGACTCCTGCATACTGCTGTTAGCCACCCAATACCCATCCTCTAGTGTCCTTTTCTGACAATTTAGATGCCATTGCTTGCAACTAAAAAGGCTTTATCTCTGAACATTTAAATTCCTTGACTAAATCTAGCTAGTGGTTCTTGCACATAAGGGAGGGGAAAGTGTTTGAAAAACACAGAAGAAGAAAATGATAAGCAGTGTTTTTTCTTTGCAAATGGAAAATGATGACTGATGCTCCCTATCTTTGTATCACAAACAGAATAGATAAGTTAAATTAACTCATGGTAGATGAAAAGACTTTCATTACCAGAAACATTGTTAAAAATTACAGTAGGCTGCTCAGAGAGCTGAGAAATTTGTTTTCCCGTTGATTTTTTAAAGATAGAGCAGATTCCAACCCAATTTGATTCTATTTGTTCTGTCCCATCCAAAGAAATTGAAGTACAGATTATATGCAATCTTTTAAATCATTTAAATACTTACTGTACAATATCTGGATTCTATCTTTATCTGACTTCTCAAGCAAAGACTTTTCTCAAAGGCCACAATTTCTCTTAATTATCAAATATAAAGATCATTTTCAAATAAATTGATTTTTAAAAATTTCCTTGATTTGTATCCTTTAATTTAGTCAATAGATCTAAAGCCTCTTATTTCTTAAATATCTTCCTCCTGGCATCCTCAATGGTACTCTCTAGGAAACAGTAACCCAAAGTCCAGAGCACATCAGTGGGATTGTGGGAGAAGCCACAGGAAAAAATACTACACTTCCCTCCGAGGGGGGAAAAATGGTGACAATAAGCAAAAAGAAATAAGTTCCCCCACCTACTGGTGAAACTGAAGATTGTCCAGCCACATTTGAGTTCAGGGCTTCAGAGTAAGTAAACCAAACATAACGCTAAACCTACGAGCAACAGTTTGGCAGCTTATGGGCCTGTAAGAACAGGACAAGAGCAAACAAGTGTGTGGCTGCTTCAAAGCCATGGTGGCCTGATGGAAAGATGCTCTGGACACACAGACACCTTAATCTAGGTGATGGGCGGACCGGCACTCAGAAACCTATGATTTTGGCAGAACTATGCAGGGGGTAGAGGCAGTATAGTGTGTTTTAGCAGTTCTTTGATAATTTATTGAACTAATGATATTTTCACAAATTAAATTAAGTAATTTGGGGGTAAGGGTACTTGCCTTTATATGCCCATGATTTGGGAGAGAGGGGTCAGGAAAAGTTATAATATGGCAACCTGTAAATATTTTATAAGTCACTAAGAAAATTTACCACCCAAATGGTGACTCATTTTTTTAGAGCCACTTGTGGCTCTCAAATGTTTAAATTAACTAAGTCAAGTCACTACTTAGTAACTCTTCAATACAAGAGAGGGAGAAATATTTGAAAAGCATAAATAGAAAATATAAGAAAAATTTAGAATTTGACACACTAAATTTTCTAGAATAATCAAATCATTTGTTTTCTTTTCTTTGTCTTTTTTTTAAACAAATGAAAAGCACAGCACATAAAAGCAGAATTTCTTTAACAGATAAGTGTTAATAAAGTATTGCGGTAGCTGACTCAGTTTGAGTATTTCCCTTTTAACCTTTAGAAATAGAGTAAACTTTGTTCTATTTAGTCAATTCTCTTATGTTTTGCTATTGGCACCTCTCTGTTCAATTCCTGTCCAGTCAGTTGGGCAACATTCTTGATTTTTACTTTTCAGATTTCTAGTATCCATACATAATTTAACATTTTAAACTTCAAAAATATTTCAGTTGCTTCTATTCTGATTTGGGCCCCCTCAATCTCACTTTTAGATAGATTGCTACCAAAGGAAAACAAAAACCAAAGTATTTTTAGGATTCATGAGGCTTACCTCCATTCTCTCACCATCTCTATTTTAAACTATTGGAAGTGAAACTTTGTAAATCACAACTCCCCATTCCTACTCCAATGAGCCCCGAAGCAGCATAGCACAAGATTCACATGACTACTTCCCTCACCTGCTTTGTGAACTTGGCCAGTCTGCCTTAAATCTCTAAGACTCAGTTTCCTTATTTCAACAAGCAGGACTAATAAGAGTATCTCCTTCAAGCAGGTGAGATTTTGAAAACACTTGAAGTTTTTGTAAAGTTTGCTTGATCTATTCATCCTAGTATGCTCCCTTCTGAAAAGGAGACTTTTGGTGGGTGTGTTTCCTAACAACATCTAAATAATATTAAATGCAAAATTGTGTCATCCTTTGTATTTTGCTAACATTTAGAGCATAGATTCAATAATATTTAAAATACTATTCTGCTTTCAAAATTATTTTTTTCTTTATAAAATGTATTGTATCACTAATTTTATCACTTCATATTTATCCACATACCTATTTACACACATATATATACACATAGATATAGTTCATATTTGTGTATACATTTACCACTTTATATTGCATATATATATATACAAGTATTCATATATTTATAGAAACATACATGTTTAAATAAGTGTAAGTGATTTAAGATCATATTATGAAGTGGATCCAGGCTTTTTTTTTTTTCCTATAAACCATTTCTAAAAAGGTGGGACTAATTGTTATTTACGAAATCTGGAACTAGTTTTGACTAAGATACTCAAAAGGTTAGTGAGATACTCTAAACCTAGCTATTTTAAATGCCTTTTTTTATGGCAGTGTTAATATCATTGTTGTTAAGAACACAATAACCGCTGCATTTACTCATTTCTGAGGAATAATCATGAAGGTTGATTTTCATTACCATTTAAATTTTCAGATGATAAAATTAAAGTGAAATCACAAACTTGTTCTGTTAACATCTAGTAAAATAAAATGTAATTTAAACACATAATGTACGATTTTAAAAGGGAAGTAAACTGTTTTTTCTTTTTAATTTTTTTTCAACATTTATTTATTTTTGGGACAGAGAGAGACAGAGCATGAACAGGGGAGGGGCAGAGAGAGAGGGAGACACAGAATCGGAAACAGGCTCCAGGCTCTGAGCCATCAGCCCAGAGCCCGACGCGGGGCTCGAACTCACGGACCAAGAGATCGTGACCTGGCTGAAGTCGGACGCTTAACCGACTGCGCCACCCAGGCGCCCCTAAACTCCTGTTTTTAAAAAGCTCAGGTTACATTGATAAAAGTTGGCACAAATGACTAATCTTTTTAAAGTTTGCTTTCCAAATTAACTTTGAAAACCACACAGCAACTATTGCTGGTTAAAAACTGCTTTGCAAAATCTCCCATAAAATGTGTATTATATATACATTTAATATAAAGGTAATTCTTCAAATCATAATATATTAATTAGCTACGTGATATAGCAAGCCACCATTACATTACTTATCGTACTAATTTAATTTGCACAGTGGCAGCTAATTTAAAGGAAGCATTCTCTTTTCAAGCTTGTTTTTCAGCCATTATTAGGTGAAAATGATTAATCTGGAATTTGAAAACAATCTTTTTCCCTATTTCTCTTTCGGAGGGACAGTTTGTGATACTTCTACCTTTGGTGCGTAGAGATAGAGGCAAATAAAAAATCACATTAATCTAGATGATGCAAACCCATCAAGAGAAGAAAGTGAATTCTACTTTCCAAAATTAGCATCAGATTTTCATCTTTTCATGCCCTTTTCAGGATCCTATTGAAATCGATGGGAGATCTATGTGTTAGATGGGAAAGAATAAGAGCAATGCTGGGATATACTCAGTACAAATAAATGGAAACTGAATCCCACTGCCTACAGGCCTATGTACGTGTTTCCATAATCATGCATTCTGAAGAAGCAAATATGCCACTCATCCAGCAGATCAGAGAGAGTACAAAGAAATAACAGAACTTGATCCAAATAATAAAGTGGCCTTAACCAAACTATCATGAAGAAAAAAAAACACGATAGAGAAAGTATTTATATGATTAGTAATATATTTTGAGAGTGATATAAAAATGGTCATGAAGAGGTTCGTTGAAAGAAAACATGTGACCCAATAGCGTTAATGTTAACTTAAATCAAGAACAAAACTTTGCCCCAGAGCAGAGCCCCAAACTTGCACAAAATAAAACTATATGAAAGTTGCAGCAGATATATTTTTACAAAACATTCTAATAAAATAATGATATCTATAGTCCAAATA